GTGAGAATTATAGTAACAGTGCTTGCTGTGGGAACTAAATCAACTGTTACATGCAAAGGGCCTAGGATAGTGCCTAGCATGTGTTCAATTAATTTCAACTAGTATTATTATTCTAAACTATAGACTGATTTTAAGAGGCTTGTTTATGAAAATGTAAGAAAATAATTTAAACTTTTTTTCTGTTAGAATGAAAATTTCTTCTTTAGCTTACCAACAAAAACAAATATTCCAACACAGGTTGGAACCTCCTCTTTTGTGACTCACCAATTCTATTCCACATGTTTTAAAAAGAAAAAATAGATTCAACTCCTAGGGAGTTATTGAGCTGAATCTATGTGCCAGAGTCACAATGTGAGTGGACACACACTCACACACATACACACACACAATTTAAGGTTCACAAAAATCCTTCATGTCATATACATTAATCCTATTTTACAGATGGAAACATTGAAGCTCATAGAGATCAAATATCTTCATCAAGGTCATACAGTAAGTAGCTAAACCAAGAATAGAAACAAAGTCACTAATTTCATATTCCACTTCCTTTCTACTACACACATACTACTTGCCTACAATTTCCTTTTTCCTTAACTCATATATAATTTATAACAGAGCAGAACACAGAGGTTTTTTCCTCATAGTTCACCCATACATTCTTGCCAAAGTACACAGTCCTGCAACTTCCCATTTCTGTTCCTCTGGTCTTATGTCAATTCAACTTCCTTTCTGGTAGTAAGAATGTCACACATGGTTGGATTTAGGGCTCCTGAGCCTTCCTTCTAAAGACTTCCTCTAAGTACATGTTTTTAAATGACTTTAGTGATGCACCGCTTGTTCTGACAAATCGCCTGATATTTTGAAATAACACTTAAAATTTCTAAATTAAATATTACTCCATAGTAACCCATAGAAAAGGATTATATATTTATCTCGAAAAATTTAATACATCTATCATTGGGGCCACAGGCAATCAAGGGATAGGGCAAGTAAAACAAATAAAGATTGGTGGGAGCACAGAAGAAGGCTTATTGGAAAAGAAGTCAAGAAGCTGAAAGGCCAAAGCCTCGTTGGGGTCATCTGTAGATACTGAAATCGTCCAGAATTTTGACAGCTGGAGTGGTAGAGAGGCAACGGTGAGCATGTGTGAGAAATAAGGGGTAGCCCTGGAAGAGGGAAGTGCAACAAGGAGGTAGAACAGCAAGTCTGTTCCTATGAGCTTTGGAGGCGGGATTCTGAGAAAGGAAACAGGAGAGCACTCTGGGAGTGGCAATGAGAAGCAAGGAAGATAACTACTCCAACTCCAGGTCCAGAGATAAGAAGAGTGAGAGAAAGAAACAGACATCACATTTAAGGGCTACGGGGGAAGCAAGTTCCTTCCAGATGTCATTTAGAAGATGATGGTAAAGGATGTGAGAAATCACCATACTTTGTATGCAGATAATATAAAATTACACATTGCTCATTACAAAAAAGACCAACTCAGGATAGTAGAACACAGTGGTTATATATGAAAAATAGTCCATGGAGATCAATTAATAATAATAATAAAACATATATATCTTCCACCTCCTGTTTAGCATCAATCATCCATTATTGAAAACCATATATTCTACATGAAACGCTAACAAAGAACCTATTTTCCAATATTTCAAATGAAAATAATTAAAATTCATTACATATCAACCCAAAACTACTAACCAACTTCCTAAAGTGAAACTAAAACACAGTAAAGCACCTTTGTATAAGTAACAAATTCCCATGTTAGGATGTAAAATGCTCACATCACTCCCTGATCAAAAGCAACTCCCATGGTTAACAGTTGCCTTATATGCAGTAACATATCTATCGCATGTCCCCTTTGTTGACCTGTGGTGTACTTTACAAACCGTTGACGTGTGATTCTGATGTTCTAACAATTATGTCTGGAATTTAACACAAGACTTGCCATGTGTTACTTTGTTTAAAATGTTGTATATGGCATTACTGAGATTCTGGGATATAAATACAAATTTTTTCTTATATAACCATCAGCCAAAACACACTGAATCGAGAGAAAAGAACATTCTAGGATATTTGAGTGTTAAATACCAAGAGGCTTTCTAACTGAGAAAGACAATTGTGTAATTGTGAAGTCATTCTGCTTCACAGAATAAGCACTTGCGTATTACATTTGTTCAATTGGATTGAATGGTAGCTTTAGTATATAAACTTATGCAAGTTAACAATACTCCCCGAACATCAAAATTTTCACATTCAAAGTGGGAGAATAACAGTGTTCTCTTCAGGAGAGTTTTTGAAAAGTAAATGAGATAATGCAGATAAAGCAGGCAGCACAGTGCCCTGTACAGTACATGCTCAATAAATGGTTTTTAGTACTATCTTTATTGTCTGTCTAGAAAGTGTAGATTTTAAAACTTTACACATGCATTTTTTGTTTGTTTGTTTGTTTCATCCTCAAGACAAAACAACTATATACAGGAGAGAAACAGGCATGAATTGTTACCATCACTTCACAAATGGAAAGACAACTCCTTTTTTTTTTTAAAAAAAAAAAAAAAAAAAAAAAAGAAAGGTTTTTTTTAAGACTTTCCCAAAGCTCCATGGTTACACAGCAATATCTATGAGGACTGGAACCCTAAACCAGGGCTTGGCAAACTTTTTCTTAAAGAGCCAGACAGTAAATATTTTAGCCTTGCAAGCCACATGGTCTCTTTTGTGACTAGTCACTGCAGCACAAAACCAGTCACAGGTAATGTGTAAACAAATGAGTGCACCTGTGTTCAATGACACTTTTTTACAAAAACAGGCAGTGGACTGGATTTGGTTCATGGCTGTAGTTTACAGACCCCTTGCCCTGGATCTTGGAGTTATTAGGCCGATGCACTTTTCCACTACTCTCTAGTTACGACCTATTTTCAGAATAGTGTTTAGCCGATGTAACTTAAGGACATTAACTGTGAGGGGAAAATAAAACATAAATAATTTTTAAAAGATCAATGAAAACAGTAAGATATTACAGGAATTTTAGAATTACTGTTCTTCCCTCCTCTCCAGCTTTTAAAACTTTCTCCCACACTCCCCCCCTTATTTCTTTCTCCTCTACTAAGGCAGTCTGGCCTAGAAGTAAACACTGTTTTATCTCTCCAAAGTACTCACGAAAAAATGTGTTTGCAGAATCTTATTCTAAAGGGAGAAGTAGACATGCCATTAGATATGAGAATGAACAAACTTGTCCAAACCTCATCTTTTAAAATGGTAAGAAAGGTGAACCTTTTGAACATGATGTGCAAGCATGCTTTTAGTGGGGCAAAGGGAGCAATGATAAGCAACTACTGTATTCTCAGCTTCAAACAACAGAATGATGATCAGTTTTCTCATTATAGAAGCAGCACAGCTTGGTGGTAAGGACATGGAGTTTGGGACTGGAATCCTAACTGGGAATGCTTCTTCTGCCCCTTAGTATCCTTGTGATTTAATAACCTATGTAAAAAGAGTTGTAAGGATTAAAACAAATAACTATTTTAAAATACTAAAGATCATAAGCATTGATTATTGTTGGATTTGAAGCTATAAACTGCTTAATCAAATTCATATATATATATATATTTAATTTTTTTTAATGGTTACTTACTTTTGGGAGAGTATGTGAGTGGGGGAGAAGCAGAGAGGAAGACACAGAATTGGAAGCAGGCTCCATGTTCTGAGCTGTCAGCACAGAGCCTGACACAGGGCTCAAACTCACAAACCACAAGATCATGACCTGAGCCGAAGTCGGACGCTTAACCTAGTGACCCACCCAGGCACCCCCATTTTTTTAAGTAGGCTCCACGCCCAGTATGGAGCCCAACATGGGGCCTGAACTCAAAACCCTGAGATCAAAACCTGAGATGAGATCAAGAGGCAGACACCTAACCAACTGAGCCACCCAGGCGTCCCCACATCTATATTTTTAGTAGGAGTACAATATGATACAATATTGTATATTAGGACAATCTGATTTATAAAGCATCCTAGGTAGCTACTACTAAGTATAAAGAAACTCTTCTGCTAAGGTGCTAAAAGTTCTTTAAAAAAATGCTCTCTCGTTTAAGCCAACATTATTCCTTTGAAATTAAAACAAACCAGAATGTACTGTGTGATGTGTGCTAGGCATTTTACATACATCTACTTATTTAACCTTCACAACAACCTTGAAAATGAACTGAGGCTCAGAGAAATAAAATAACTTGCTGAAAGTACAAAGCTCCTAAGTGGCAACAGGTCTTGGATCTACATCCAAGTCACATAGATTTTAAAGCTCATATTCTTTTCATTACATTAACACTGTCTCTTCAGCATTTTGACTTGGGGTCCACAAAAAGCTAAGTGCCTCATACAAAATCAAAGAATAATTACATTCAATGTCATAGAAGGCAAATCCTCAGATTATGGGACACTGTTCTACTATATTAAGTCACCTCCAAATCACATACTATTTTGAAGGTAATTTCCAGACAATTCTTGCTTAATTAAGTTTTGGTTCCCCAAAACGTGCTGGTGAAACCAGTCTTTTCCTTACTAGTTAGAGAAATTAGGGTATTACCAACAGTAAGCCTTAGATGTGCAAAGAAATAGTTCCAGAATTTTGATAAGAGAAAAAATAAAGAGTAAATTTCCTGACACTCCAATGGCATGTGAATTAACATAACAAGAACATTTCCACTGGAAATGCCAGGAAGTTATCACTTCCAGAAAGGAGATTGCCTTCTCAATAATTTTTTCCATGAAATTTAGAGAAATTGGTGGGCCAGGTGCTTTTGAAGAACTAAATCAGTAAATTAGAGGCTTTTTAATTCTGATATTAAATATAACATACAAAGTGAAGGAATAAAAGTGTATTAAATATTTTATAAATCTATGCCCCCCTCCCTCTTTATTTAAACCAGTCTCTCCTTGAGAGCAAGAGCGTTTTCTTTTTCTTGATAAAAAAAACGTCACCTCCACCCTCTGCTGCTTACCTGTTGCAGAGTATGCTGCGGGCTCCGTGTGGACTACAGTCACACGGCAGACAGAGCCCAGATGTGTGATTCAGGTAAAAGCCCTCCCTGCAGATGTCACAGCGGAGCCCTTGATAATGAGGCTGACACTCACACTGCCCGGTGGTCTGGTTGCAGCGATTCACATCCAGACTTCCCACCACAGAGCAGTTACATACATATTCTGTAAAGGACAGAAGGAAAGAGACGTTATTCACTACGATTTAATGCTTTCTTAATAAAATAAAACTCAGTTTTATTTTTCCTAATAAATGTTCAGTTTTGCAAGGATGGATAAAATTAATTCTAGTTCAAATTCACTTTCTATCCCATTTAGTTTATTTAAAATGGGAAATATATGCAGTAGAGTATGTAAAACTATACTTCATTCATAATTCTAAAGCTAACATTCTCAATGTCCTTCCCAGTACTTTTCATCTTCTAGCCCTTTTACACTTCTACCTTTTTACCTTTTACAGTGTGTGTAGTGGAGAGGGGTGGCTCCTGTAAACCACTAAGTTTTCCTGGACAGGAAACTTCCAGAGGCAGGACCTATGCTTACCTACATGGCACTGAGAGCACATGTTAGAAATGACAACATGTTAAATAATAAAGAGCCCCATTGTATAGCAGCAAAAGCCTAAGGCTCAAATGATTAACTGCAGAAACTTACACAGGTCAGACAAAATTGTGCTACAGCTGGAATCATAAACTAATGCGTTCTTCCCAGGAAGGAATTAACAGAGAATTGAACCCTTAAGGTAAGGAAAAGGATGAACAATAAATCCTAGACGAGAAAGTTTACACAGTCGTCCTGATCAGTGGGCTAAAACCGATCACAGTTTGAAACTCTTTCCTAAGTTACAAGACTTAGAAAATAAACTTTCCTTTAGCTACATTTCAGAGTTCATTGGATGAAAATATTTAGAAGTCCTTGGTTTTAGCCTTTAAATGTAGATATATTTAAAGGTCAGCTCAGATTTGGGTTTTGCTATTGTTTATATTCATTTAATCAAGGAAGTATTTTCACCATGGTTTGACACAGTATCAACACAGGACTTTGTAAACATGTTAGAAACAACTAAAGTCAACTGCAGATAAAACAAAACCTTGTACACAGCTTAGGAATAGCCTCAACTCCAAAACAGCTATAAACCTAGGTTTAACAAGCCTCCCAAAAGTCTATGGTACAAATTATACCTCTGATTAGGTAAGGCACTATATGAAATGGCATTATATTGACAAATATTGAGCTTGGAGAAAATTGACAATTTAAAAAAAAATGTTTATTTGTTTTGAGAGAGAGTATGTGCACGAGCAGGGAAGGGGCAGCAGAGAGTGAGGGAGAGAGAGAATCCCAAGCAGGCCCTGTGCTGTCAGCACAGAGACTGGCATGGACTCACAAACTGAGGTCACAACCAAAGCCAAAATCAGATGCTTAGCCAACTGAGCTACCCAGGAGCCCCAGTTTTTTTATGTTTTTCTAAAGGTTTACTTAGTGTTGAGAGAAAGACAGAGTGTGAGTAGGTGAGTGGCAGAGAGAGAGAGAGAGAGGGAGAGAAAGAGAGAGAGAGACGCAGAGTCTGAAGTAGACTCAGGGCTCAAACTCAAAAACCATGAGATCATGACTGAGCTAAAGTTGAACGCTTAACTGACTGAGCCACTCAGGTGCCCCTGATGATTTTTAAAAAGTTACTAAATAATTGCAAATCCAAGGTCTCAAACAGAATGCTATAAAGGAGTTTGCTCCTCTAGTCTAGAAGACATTTCTTTTAAAGAGAGAGAAAGTGGGGGGGGGGGGGGGGTGCTGAGAGAGGGGGAAAGAGAATCTCAAGCAGGCTCTACACTTATGGAGCCCCACATGGGGCTTGATCCCACAACCCTGTGATCATGACCTGAGTTGCAATCAAGAGTCAGATGCTTAATCAACTTAAGCCACCCAGGAGCCCCAGAAATTAAAATTCTTAATGCCATCACAGGCAGCTTATCCACAAAAGTCAAAGCAAAGGATTCTACAGAGAAATTCCCACTTGGCCAAATCCATACCAACTCTGTACCTCCCACACTTTTTCTGTTCCTAACTTTTGGGGTCACCTTATCTCCCTGCTCTTTCCATCTCTTCTAATTTGTAAATAGATCAAATGAATAAATATACATATATTGGTAAGTGATTTATTTTATGAATAATTCAAAGGTGGTAAATTATTTACAAATCCCAAAGAATTCAAGATTTCTTCAGCCCTAAACTTAGAAAAGGTATCAGCTTCCCATCTCAGTCAACTTTCTTATTTTTACTAGGATATGCTAGCATAACATTTCTCTGACAGAGTTACTTTGTTTTCACATTATTTCTAGTTTTTGGTGTGTGTGTTTGGTTTTTGTAAATAAGGAAGCCACATTTAGCGGTCTGAAAACCTGCCAACAACTTCATGGTAAGACCTTCACTCCACCAAAAATAACCAGAACACTTAAAATAACATTTTCTTCCAGATGTGGCACAATTTCAACATACATCCAATTCCTCCTGCTAGATCAATTTCATCTCAAGTTAAACTGGACCAAATTGTGCTGGTGTGGACAGATCCAGCTCAGGAAAAATGAACAGGTTAAATAAAAACTCTAAGACTGAGAATTTTATTCTATTATTTCCTTACTAATATACTTCCATCTGAAACCTGAATCAGTGTTCCCATTCACTGGGGTAAGATTAGTAGTATTTTTTCATAGGAACACAATGAATCGAAAACCTTTGAGGAAAAAACTGGTTGTTTGTTTTTCAGTAAAGTTGTAGTTGATAAGCTTCAGTACTAACCAAGTTAATTGGCTACTTATTACTTATATGGAGCCAAGTCAATCTCTTCAATAGTCTCTGAACATAATTCTTTTTAGTCTCAACTTTGGACCTTGGTTCATTCTGTCCCCATTTAAATGCTCTCTCCCCTCCTCATATTCAAACCTACCCCCTATTTTAAGAATCAGCTGAAACTTACTCCACCTTAAACTCTAATTCTATTACCCCTAGTGTGAATCTATAACAACATCTACTACCTACAGCTCTTGTATGCCAGTAATTTGAAGAGGCAGTCAAGTGTAGCAGTTATGAACACAGACTATAGAGGCAGAGAGCTACAGGTTTACAGCTCTCTCACTTACTAACTTTATGATCTCAGACAAGTTAACTAACCTCTTATGCCTCCCTTTTCTTATCTGTAAACAGGGCATAATATAGTGCCTATAACACTTAGTCCCAACACCTAAGCTAGAGGAGTTTGGAGTGCTGCAATAAGTAATCCAAGGGCTAGAAGAAAGAGAAGCAGATAGAGTAACATATGGAGAATTCAGATGTCAGATTCATAGGCCACAGCTTTGTTATACCCTGTGGAAAAGAAAGCCCAGAATTGGGTTTATTACTATAGCAGTTTTTGACAATGTTTAAGAAATAGAATTAGTGTCCTGACATTCAGAAATCCAAGTTGTGGGTTATCTAGGGAGAAAATAAGAGGGAATCCTATGTCTTCTGGCTTCATTACCAAGATGGGTGCCTACAAATACAATGATGAAAACAGAAGGGTTGAGGATATGGTTTTAGAGAGGATGAAAAAGAGCATTTATTGATTCTACACACCTTGTGTTAGTCATCCTAACAGTAGCAGCACACAAGGCAAATATCTCAGCAAGAGAGACTGCACTCAGGCCAGGAAGGGGGTTGACTTATGAAGACAAAATGCACTATCATGTTAACATTCCTCCCCAAATTAACCCAAGGAAAGGAAGTTGAAGAGAAGCACACCAAATACCAGGGAGCGTGTGCATCTTTTCTGTTTGGAGCTCAGAATCTAAGGCCTTATCCCAGGGATCGGGCTCAAATGAAAGGACCCAAGTTAAATGAATAGTATGAGCAATAGCAATAAATGCAAAGCACTATGAATATCCAATAAATTGTGTCAGGATACCCTGTTAGCATGTACATAGAGTAAAACCTCAGACCCTTCACAGTTCTCGGCATTTATATGGAACCAGACAGGAGTTAGTGCAGAAACAATGGGATTTAGTAGGAGACAGCCAGTATAAAAAAGAAGAAAGGAATCTCCATGGATAGAAGCAGTGGGAAGGACTTATAGCCAAAAACAGGAGATGAAGTGGTGACTTTTTAATGAGGTAGAATCTTAGACAGCAGAGCAGCACAAAGGAGTCAGTGATAGGACTGATGTTAAGTCACTAGTATGAATGTTAATGTGAATGAAATAATATGAAGATGATACAAAAGCTAATTATAGACAAGTCTGGATGAAATGCCAAAATCTCATTTGATTGCCTAAGAGTAAACATGAAGTAAATTCTCCATCATTTGAGCTGTGGGTTTCCCTTCAATGCCCTGTGACTCTTGGGAAAGCTCTATGGAGAAATAATTAGAAAAAAGTAACATAAATGTTAGCAGAGAGATGGCAGTCTTTGGCCAATAGTTTTTCTTTTTGTTTGGCTTCTGAAGAGCAATGAAATATTTTGACGGGCAGTGATTTGAACCCTAAAGAAGAATAAGGAACTAAAATCTGGTGCCACACTACTTGAAACTATAAATATAAAGGCCATTCAGAGAAGAGACAGTAGCTTGGCATTTTTCTCTGAGAACCTGAACTCATGGCATGATTTTGTAGTAAAAGTATCCAAAGTAATCATTGCATTTAAATCACACACTGCCCTTTTTCAAACATTCCTTACCAAGGCCCAAGAGATGGGGATGCTTAGCAATGCAAAAGCCATATGGAGTAACTTTGTTTAGAAGTCCCATAAACTCTCTCACCCCCTCTTGTGCACAGACACCTGTCCAGGTGAGAGATCATCTCCCAGAATATACAAAAGACCTTTTCTCATGCACCTTGTAGTCTTCTTTCTGCATCCAGCTTTTAACCACCTCATGTCGCTGCTCAGTAAAGAGTCCATCATAACTTCTGGAGAATTTTAATTGTGTTTTGGTATCTGCAACTACTTTGATGATAGATTTTAGAAAAATATTAATTGTGATACTATGTACCAATTAGTGTGTCCTCTGTCTCTGTCTCTTTTTGAAGTCCTTTCTGAGTGGTGCAATTAACTATGATGTCTGGAGACTCAAGCAATTTGGTACAATGGTGTGTTAGCTTTTTCCAGATAAAAAAGAACTATAAAAGCAGTAAATGAAAGATT